GCAAAGCACCGACGTGTGGGTGGTTGTCAAAATTATGATCCCTTTTGGGGTACCCTAAATATTAGGTGCCGTACGGAAAACTTGCCAACCTGTTCGCCCCACCATTTCCACCCACCCAGTCCCCTGAACTCATCAGGACTATGTCAAATTCAAAGATCCTAAATGTTTTCGGGGGCCGATACCACCAAACAGTCCTTAAGTTCTACGCCCTAGAGCCTCGAAACCCTAGCCCTGAAGCCTGAAACCCCGATCAAGCGCCATCCCCGCACATATTTGGGTTAGAGGAACTTGGCCCCAAACCCGAGACTCTGCCGAGAGCGTATCTGCCCAAGGCCCTGGACCCCAAACTCAAAAAGCCATGAGCCCTAAGGCTTACAGAGCCCTGAGACATTCACGGGCACCCCAAACCCTAAACTCCAAACGCTAAACCCTAAACCCCAAACCCCAAAACCCTAAGCTTGGCCTCTTGCAGGGTCCACCTGGACGGAGCTACCATTGAGGAGAAACACCTCCATAGCTTCGGCTCTTGATGCCGCTTGCCGGCTGGATCCAGATCGCTGCGGGATGCTTGATAAACAAGGGCTTAGGGTTTAGGGTTTAGGGTTTAGGGTTTATAGGGTTTAGGGTTTAGGGCTCAAAGAGGGCCAGGGCAGTTAACCTGCAGAAAAAGGGAATGAGAAACAACAAGCCCTACCTGAGTAACCCCAAAACCTTTTTTTGGGGGTTGCCTAAGAACCCTAACCCTATATGGAGTTCTACAGTGGCAACCTAGAAAAAAGTAGGTGTTGGGGTTCTGAAGGTAACCCCTAGTCGGTGCAGGAATTGAAGAATTGCGGATAGAGGTAAAAAGGGTTTAGGAAGAGACGGTGGAGGGACTGTAGGGTGCAATGAAGGTTTAGACAGGTCCTGGACTTTGGCCCTAAACCCTAAACCCTAAACCCTAAACCCTAAACCCTAAACCCTAAACCCTAAACCCTAAACCCTAAACCCTAAACCCTAAACCCTAAACCCTAAACCTCTGTGGGATCCCGGCGCAAAGAAGCTGCTCCGCCTCGTCGCCGACGTGGATCTCCTCAATGCCACACCGTAGACGGGCCCGCAAGTAGTGCTGATTTCTTGTTTAGGGTTTGCGTTTAGGGTTTGGGGTTTAGGGTTTAGGGGTTGGGCTTTAGGGTTTAGAGTTTGGGGTTTAGGGTTTAGCGTGCAGGGCTTTGGATCTCGGGGCTTAATCCAAGGCCCGAAGGATTCTGACGTTAGTTTAAGGCTTTGGGACTAGGGAGGACTTTCGGAGTATTCTGAGCCTACGGGTAATCTAAAGGTAGTTGCATGGTCCCTTGGTATGTGCCCTTAAAAAGGGACCCCTTTATATACCCCTTATATATCTATACAGGAAGTAAGGGACCATATTAAGGGCTCATGAAAGTACCCTGAGAGGGAATTGCTTGCCTTGGAAGGGTTTCCTGCTGGCAACTGTATCTACACAAGTATTAACAAGGGATCGTAGCCAGAGAGGAATAGGGTGCATGGCGCGGTGGGGGGGGGGGGGAAACGCTGATTTTTGCTTAACCCACTAAACCCTAGGACTTTCGGAATTTGGGATTTGAGGTTGCATCTCTACTTGGGCTTCGAGGGTTGCAGGGTTTCCGAGTCTTCGGGGTTTCAGGGTTTCTTGGGTGTTGGGGGGTTTGCAGTTGTAGGGTTCTTTCGGAGATTTAGAGTTTGGGGTTTTCCGGTTCTGGGGCTCTGGGGATTAGGGTTTTGCTTGTAGGGTATGTTTGTGTTCGGGCTCTGGGAGTTTAGGGTGTTGGGGCTTTGAGGTTTTATAGAGGTTTTGGAGGGTTCAAAGGAACGTGTGAAGGTTTAGTTTCACGGTACTTAATGTCCCAAGTCTGGCTGTACTTATAATCCAAATATACCCTAAACCCTAAACCCTAAACCCTAAACCCTAAACCCTAAACCCTAAACCCTAAACCCTAAACCCTAAACCCTAAACCCTAAACCCTAAACCATCTTAGGTTCATGGCCTTGGTCTTTGAACTCTGGCATCTTCGGGCGTTGGGGGTTGGGGTTGTGGGCCTTTAAGGCCTACGTCGCTGATCATGGCCCTTCTGATGGGTTCTTATATACCCCTTGCATACACTTACAAAAGCAAAGGCCCCATACTTCGGAACCCGATAAAAGGAGGTAAAAGGGGTCACATTAAGCGACCTTGCAACTTACCCCTTAGGGTTTAGGGTTTAGGGTGTAGGGTTTTGGGTTTAAGGTGACCGAAAAGTCCCAGAGAACGTGGGCCTGCAGGCACTTGCCACTTGTCACGTGCCACTGGCGGATTTTCCCGTCCTTGTCACGCGGTCTAGTGCTCACCCGTTTAAGCGGGCCTCTGGATAGCTGGGTTTCCCTAACCGTAAACCCGAAATCCGAAATCCGAAATCCGACCTGAAGGTTTAGGGCTTTAGGCTGTAGGGCTTTAGGGCTTTGGGGCTTGGGGCTTCGGGGCTTCTCGGCTTTGGGGTGTCGTAGGGTGTATCTTAGGGTAGTGCCCTTAACAGGGGACCCCTTATATACCCCTTGAAAACCCTGTACAACCCAAGGGCCCATACTTCAGAACCCTGTAAGGGAGGTAAGGGAGGTAAGGGACCATAATAATTAAGATCCCATGAAACTACCGAACAGACAGATAGGGTTTAGGGTTTAAGGTTTAGGGTTCAGGGTTTAGGGTTCAGGGTTTAGGGTTCAGGGTTCAGGGTTTAGGGCTACAGCCTAGCCATACAGCACGCCGTGGACGCAGCTGTCAGGTGTTAGACCCTCTCCGCACTCTAACATAAAACTACCCGTGAACCTTCTCAAGAAGCCTAAACCCCTAAAAGCCCGGAACCCCGAAAAGAAAACAACCCTAAACCCTAAACCCTAAACCCCAAACCCGAAACCCTAAACCCTAATTAAACCCTAAAGCAAACGCAAGCATAATTAGCACTGGGCTAAGGCGACATGGTCAGTTCTTGAGTGCCAACCACTACTTAGGAGGGCGGCGCAAAACCTAGAACTAGCAATAATTCGCCCTAAACCCTAAACCCTAAACCCTGAAACCCTAAGCCCTAAATCCTAAACCCTACACCCTAAGGCCCTAAACCCTAAACCCTAAACCCGAAAGGCTTGTCTTTTTACTCAATGAAGGAGAGAAATGGAGAGAAATGCGCTTGCTTGGACACCCCTTGGAGGGTCAACCTGCAGACTTGCATTCATTTAGGGATTCTTAGAGTTTAGGGTTTAGGGTTGAGGGTTGAGGGTTGAGGGTTGAGGGTTCGTTTGGGGTGTGGTCCTGTAGTCTGAGTTCCCCCCCAACCTAAGAACCAACAGGGAAATTGATATCTTTGATGGGACTCTACAGCAGAAGTGAGCCCTTCAATGTGGGAAAGTGGGTGCAGCTGGGGAGTTTAGGGTTCAGGATTTCGGGTTTAGGGTTTATGGCTTGGGGTTTAGGGTTTATGGTTTAGGGCTTAGGGCTTAGGGCTTAGGATTCGTTTGGGGGTGCGGTCGATGTTGGGGCTACGCTCTTGAGATTCAGGCTTCATAGAGTTTGCAGACTGCTTAAAAGATCTCAGAAGGAGCCCTAAGCCCCCCCCAATGCCTCAATCTACCAATTAAATCTTCACCCCCCTAAACCCTAAACCCTAAACCCTAAACCCTAAACCCTAAACCCTAAACCCTAAACCCTAACCCTAAACCCGAAACTCTCACCTGCTGAGGGCGTGGCGGTGCCTGCGCCAACGAGGACTCCGCGTGTTCGAAGGGAAGAGGAGGCCGTCTCGGGCCGCCAGCACACCTAGTCTGAGACCCTACAAACTTCTAGGGCTTATAAGGTGTACATGCACCAAATAACCCTATAAAACCCTATAATCCCTGTAACCCGATAAGCCCTGTAAGCTTTACCCAATACGCCCTATAATCGACCCGAAGCCCTAGCAAAACCATAAACCCCAAGTCCCTAGATACCCCAAACCCTAAACTCTGCCAAGTTCGGGGTTCAAGGGATACATGTGTTCTTGTTTTTGTTTTCCTTTTTGTGGGGGGTGGGAGGGCGGGGGGGGGGGGGGGGGGGGGGGGTGGGTTGCGTTCAGGGTTGAGGGTTAGAGTTTAGGATTTGGGTTTCGGGTTTAAGGTTTAGAGTTTAGGGTCCATCCGCGCCAGAGATCACCACAAACAAGTCTTGGGGTAGTGGGGCCCTGAGAATTACTTGAAATCTTGGAGGAGCCCGCCACCCCTCTCACCTCTATTCGGGTAAGGCGGGCGCAGTCGAGCGTTCAGCTAAACCACGGGAGGCTCTGCTGGGCTGCAGAGCCTGCCACGCACACTATTTTGAAAATGAGTCGTCCAGCGAAGAGTCGTCTAGTTTTGTCACTCGACTTACTAGACCATCATTGTCCTGCAACGCCTCTCTGCTCGCCGAGCAAACCCTAAACCCTACACCCATCTTTCCACATATCCGACCCGCTACCCCAAGTTTCATTCCCGAAACCGACGCTCCCATCCCCAAAACAGAAACCGTAAAGCCCCAAACCCTAAACCCTGAAAGCCTATAAACCCGAAACCCTTAACCCTAAACCCTAAAAGCCCATAAGCCCTGGCCTGCTTGATGGCGTGGTGGCCCGGCCGATTTAGCCTACGGGTTAGGGTTTAGGGTTTAGGGTTTAGGGTTTAGGGTTCAGGGTTCAGGGTCTAGGGTTCAGGGTGCAGGGTCTAGGGTCTAGGGTTTAGGGTTTAGGGATTAGGATTTAGGGCTTTGGGAATGGGAGTCATCCCTGACGCACCTCGGCTACAAGTAATAGGGGGTCCTTAGTCGAAGGTACGAATGATGATGAATGCGATTACTAACCCCATTTAGGGTTTAGGGTTTAGGGTTTAGGGCTAGACACAAGCGTAACCTATAGGAATAAAAGGGGGTGCACATTTGTCGGCCGCTTTGGCAGCGCCAATTACCTCCACAGTTGTCTGGAAAGAGGTCACTGCTGGCCTGAACTCGTCGAGGATGAGGATGCACTGGAAGCTTGTGCAAAGCCCAGCGACCATGCCAACGGGAGCCATCCTGTAGATACAAACATTTGCGTGACGTTGGTCGTACCTCCTGAGGCTCCTGAGGTCTGCGATGGCGGGGTGATCGCAACTCCTTGGATGGAAGTGCTGGCCACGCCGTCTCCATCTCCACATTGTGTCTCCGACGCTTCGTGGCCTGGAGCACCGGAGCTTTCGGGAATGTCTCCTTCCTCATCTTCATAGATGAGGCTCAGGAGCATGTCTTCCAAATTGAGAGAGCACTGGCCTGCGGCAATTGCAATGTCGGCACCTGCGCAACAACCGCCCGCGTGTGAGTGAGTCGGGGACATGCCGCTGGAACAGGGTGCCGCCGCGCGTAATTGTGCACGTACAAGGCTTGTCAACAAGCGTGCTGCAGTCGCTGTGGCAATATGACAATGAGCACATCTTGGGCACGATAAAACACTCAACACCCCAAGAACACTTCTTGGTTTAGAGGGGCTTATAGGGGAACCTAAACCCTACAGCAGCGAATACGAAACCCACTCTGGGTGCAAGAGCCCCTGTCCCTAAACCCATAAGCCCTTACAGCTTTGCTTGGGGCGGTTCGTTGCGGAACCCAAGGGCCCAAGCGCGAAAAGCCAAAGCAATCTTTAGGGTTTAGGGTTTGGGGTTTAGGGTTTAGGGTTTAGGAGGTTTGTTTAGACACACGTTGAAGACACCCTAGAGGCCCTTGAGCCCGAACCCTCAAGCCTAATCAAGAATGTGCTCCGACTTTGCGTCAAGGGGTTCAGGGGCTGAAGGCCTATAGGACTTTACTTACTTCTCCACATCCCTGGGAATAAGGGTCTGGTTAGGGTTGAGGGGCACCCCCTTTTTTCAAGAGCAACCACGATGCTACTGAGGGAAGCAAGAACCCCGCGTGTTGTTGGGGTGCCTGGGTCTTACACTGGCAGTTAGCCCCTAGATCCTCAGAACCCTCTAAGGTCCAGGATTTAGGGTTTTTGGGTTTAGGGATTGGGCCACAAAACCCTTACAGCGTAAACCCCAAAAACCCAAAACCTACATTGCTCTGACCCTCAGAGCCATAAGCCCTAAACCTTGAACCCCAAAAACCAAGGACTCCAAACCCTAAACTCCGCCATCAAACCCGCAACCGCAAATCAAGGGGTGCCTGTACGCCTCCTGGCCGGTGGCGACATTGAACACACTCACCTGGGCAGAGGCGAGCAAGGGTCTTTTCTAGACTTCAGGGTTCAGGGCTGAGGGCTTAGTGTGGGGTTCAGGGTACCCAAAGGCTCCTATGTAGTACCTTTTTGGGGTAGTATACTAGAATCCACTATACCTAACCCAAAAAGGAACTACATTGGAGCCTTTGGGTAGAGGGTTGATAGGGCTTAGGGTGTAGGGCTCCGGCTTTAGGGCTGAAGGTTGAGGTTGGGAGGTTGCTATTCAGGGTGCTCAAGCAGAAAGATGGGGGATTCTAGTGCTTTGGGTTTGGGGGTTTTACGCGGCCTTCATGGGTTTAGGGCTTAAACCATGGTTTCCTTGTTCGGTCTTTGTTGAGAACCACCCGGTCCGATGAGTGAAATCTGCAACCTGAAAAAGCACAGCTTGCCTGCCGCATGTTAGTTTTCCGGACTCTTCTTACCTACAAAGCCAAACCCCTAAACCCCCAAAACCCTAAACACCCTAAACCTCGAAACACCCTGAACCTCTAAACCTCTAATCCCTATTATGAACCTTCAAACCCTAAACCCTAGACCCTAAACCCTAAACCCTAAACTCCCACAGCCCGGGTGTCCGTGCGGTTCCGTGGCCACCGGCCGCCGCCAGGAAGTTGTGATCCGCGTTGAAGCGGACGGAAAAGGCCTTGTAGGGTTTAGTTTAGGGTTTAGGGTTTAGGGTTTAGGGTTTAGGGTTCAGGGTTAAGGGTTTAGGGCTACCTTCAGGGTTTAGGGTTTAGTTTAGGGTTTAGGGTTTGGGGTTTAGGGTTAAGGGTTTAGGGTGTAGGCCTAAACCCCAAACCGGAAATCTTAGGGTAGTTACCTGGTCCCTTAGTATGGGCCCTTAGAAAGGGGACCCCTTGTATACTCCTCATGTAGCCCATACATCTCAAGGGCCCTTGCTTCAGAACCCTTTAGAAAAAGGTAAGGGACCATATTCAGGGATCATGTAACTACCCTTAGAATAAACCCTAAACCGTATACCCTAAACCCTATACCCTAAACCCTATACCCTAAACCCTAAACCCTAAACCCAAAATCCTAATGAGCGTAGCCCACACCTCAGAGTGGATCGGGTCTTGCGAGTTCTTGCGGCCATACACTCGCCCTAAAACCCTAAAGCCTAAATCCTAAACCCTGAACCCTGAAACCCGCCCAGTTCCCAAACAGTCCGTCCGACCCTAGCTCCACCATGGCGTTTAGGGTTTAGGGTTTAGGGTTTAGGGTTTCGGGTTTAGGGTTTAGGGTTAGGGTTTGAATGCTTCAGCAAGAGTTTTTTTAGGCCTGGTATTGAGGTGGGGTGGGGGGTTTAGGGTTTAGGGTTTAGGGTTTAGGGTTGATGCCGGGCTGGGGTGAGAGGGTCCATCCCAAGCAGCCGTAAACCCTTACAGAATCGAGGCCCCTGAGCCGCAAGGCTAAACCCAAAACCCAAAACCCTAAACCCTAAACCCCAAAACCCTAAACCCTAAAGTCTGAATGTTTAGGGCTTAAGGTTTTAGGGCTACCGAAGCCTCATCCTAAATAGTCACCTCAACAGAGTCATAGGGTGAATAATCCGTTCCCCCTAATATTAATACCCCCCCTAATATATAAAAATCCCTCTGGCCCCAAAACCCGGTCCGGCAGTCGTCCCTTTTAATATCTCTACAGAATTAGGGGGCGGGGAAGCCTGAAACTCATTTAGGCCTAAGCTTGAAAGCTGCTCTATGGCTGAGCCAGCAAGCTAGAACGACTGGTTGTTCTATTCGGACAAACGGTAAGAAGCCCCCTATTACTAAAACCCCTTTGGGGGTTTTGGGGGGTCTTTATACTGCCGGGTGGGGGGGGGGGGGGGGCCTTTTATATTAGGGGGAAGGGATTAATTTGGGGCCCTCGGGCCTCAGAGTATCTCAGGTGCCCAGCACTGAGCCCTCTTCCCAGAACCCCCAGGCCTACTTCGCAGCTCTTTCTTCCCTGAAGCGTACCAAACCCTCAACCCCAAACTCTAAACCCTAATTAGCCCTAAACCCTAACCCTAAACCCTAAACCCGAAACCCGAAACCCTAAACCCTAAACCCTAGACCCTAAACCCGAAACCCTCAACCCTAAACAGGAAGAGGCCTGGGAGTCAAAGGGGTCGGTGATGGTCACGGGGCTCAGCTGCAGGTCTCGGTTGTCAGGGTGCTTTCCTACCCCCCCCCCCCTTTGGGTGTCTAGGGTTCAGGGTTCAGGGTTTGGGGTTTAGGGTTCAGGGTTTAGGATTCAGGGTTTAGGGTTCAGGGTTTAGGGTTTCGGGCTGTTCCAGGGTTGGGATACTTCAATCCTTTTTGCCAAGATGCCAAGTGTTGGCTTCTTTGGTGCGCAGCGTAGGGTGTTCAACTTCTTCCCTATGTAACCCATACTCCTAAGCGACTAAGTCCTTGCATCTGGTGTTTCTTATACATTCCCCGAGTGGCACACTCGCAACGAGGGGGGTCCCTGCAAAGTCCTTGCATTTCCTGTTTCTGCAGGGGCACACGTCCGCGGACCACTGCGCACTGCATGCCCCGAAACGTAAACAAATGCCCAACACAGACCCCATTTTCCCAGTGGCACACGCTTGCAGACCAACTAACCACACGCCCCCCAAAGCCTACAAAAGTCCCCAGTAAAGATCTAAAACAACTAATCACCACAACGTCCCGCAATACAGAAGTTCCCCATGCACTCAGCCCTGATTCTTCGACGGCTTCTCCCGAACCCTCTTCTGCGGTGTTGGGTTTAGTTTAAGGGTCAGTGTTTGGGGTTTAGGCCCTTAGGGTGTAGGCTTTAGGTTTAAGCAGGGTACAGGGTTTAGGGTTAAACCCGGACACTTGCCACCCGGCAAAGATTCTTTCCATATGCCATCCGCTCCCTCGTGGCTAAAGGTTGGTGAGATCTGGTTGGAGGACTGCGCCCCTAACGATACCCCTAACGATACCTCAACGATACCTCTACGATACCCCGGGGCCCCAAATGCCAACAATGGCCCACGTTCATCTGAATCTGCCTCGTCTGGCGGATGTGCATTCAATCACCTTCAACCCACTGAGTGAGCGCTTACTTCGCATCCGAGGGTTGCAGGTTTAGAGTTCAGGCTTTAGCTGCAGGGCTTAGGGGTTTAGAGTTCGACATGGGATTTTGCTAGCGTTGCCTGATGTAAATAAATCTATATGTGTCGACTCCACGCAAACGGCGTTGACAATGATAATACAAAAAACATTTCCCCCAGGGGCACACCCAAACGCAACGACCTCACAACAAAGCTTCCCCCCAATGTCTGCCGCTGAAAAAGTGAAAACGCAACGACTTCAGCAACTGGGAGTAGCTATCCCCACGCCCTTAGCCCTCAACCCTGAACCCCCCCATCCTCTTTTATTTACCCTGAACCCCGGCATATATGGCTGAATTAGGGAGTATACCTTGTATAAAATCCGAACGGGATCTCTACTATCAAATACCTTCTGGTTCTTAGTAGGGAATGAGGGAATGGCGCACCCTAGAAAATCCCCTTCAAGGATATGGATATGGAGAAATATATATATATATATGTATATGTATATGTATATGTAGGGGGATGCAATGTACCGGAAGCCCCCCATTCCCTGCTAAGAACCAGTAGAATCAGGGACGACTCCGTAGCCATAAGAGGTCCCCTAAACCCCAAACCCCTAAACCCCAAACCCCTAAACCCCTAAACCCCTAAACCCCTAAACCCCTAAACCCCTAAACCCCTAAACCCCTAAACCCCTAAACCCCTAAACCCCTAAACCCCCAAGCTTTTTGCGATCGCGCAAGACGCGGCGACGAACCGACGTCCAAGCATTAATTGGGGCGCCCTAAACCCTAACCCTAAACCCTAAACCCCAAACCCCAAACCCCAAACCCTAAACCCTAAACCAAACCACGGCTTCAGGGATTTTTAGAGTTTGACTACCTAGAAACCCTGAACCCTAAGCCCATAAGCCCGAAACCGTCCAGGTGGGGAAAGGGAGCCCTAAACCCTAAACCCTAAACACACCCTAAATCCTAACCCCAGGTGGGCAAGAGAGACGCTCCTAGACCCTCTGAAGCCCAGTAAGACAAGGTCCTGCCTAGGAAGGTTTGGGTTTTAGGGTTTTTTTGGGCTTCGGGATGTTTAGGGATTACTACCCAAAGGCTCCTATGTAGTACCTTTTTTGGGGTAGTATACTAGAACCCCCTATACCTAACCCAAAAAGGAACTACATTGGAGCCTTTGGGTAGAGCAAGAGGATTTTGGCTTTTGGCTTTTGCGAAATTGCAAGGCTTTTAGGGCTTACGGGGTTTAGGGCTTCAGGGTTTGGTTAGGCTTAGGGTTTAGGGTTTAGGGCCTTCTGGGGTTTATGGGCATGTAGGTGGAACGTTGTACGGCTATGGGTCCTAAAGGGTTCTTGGGCTGGAGTTCGGACTTCAGGGCGTGATGCCCTTGCTGGAGGTGCCCAGCCACGCAGGAGCTGTGCGGTGGCACGCTGACCAGCTTTAACAGATACCGCTACAACCCTAAACCCTAAACCCTAAACCCTAAACCCTAAACCCTAAGCCCGAAACCCTAAACCCCGACTCTGAACCTTGGTGCGCTCTGTCTAAACGACAACGCCAGACCGGCCTCGAACTGGAAACTTTGAGATCAACACCCAAAGGAGGCTAGGGCTTAGGGTTTAGGGTTTAGGGTTTAGGGTTTAGACCCTAAGCCCTGAACCCATACTAAAACCCTTGAGGGTTTAGGGTTTAGGGTTTAGGGTTTCGAGTGGACGACGTTCAGTCTCAGCTCATGAAGCAGCACGGCCAAACTCTCACCACCATCCCCAAAGGACCCCGGTACCACTGCGGGTTTGCTCGGGCCTGCTATTTAGGATTTGGGGTTTCGCGTTTAAGGGCAATTAAAGGGCGTGGGACTCCCAAATATCTAGATGCCATGTAGTCCCCTGTCGGGTAAAGGCCCAAAACCACAAACCCTAAACCTTAAATCCTAATCCCTAAACCCTAAACCCCTAAACGCTCCATGAGTGCATATTGGACCCCCAACCCTCAACCCTCAACCCTCAACCCTAAACCCTAAACACTAAACCCGTCCTAGCTCGAGCCCTGATGATCATTGCAACCCCCATGGATACGATCTTTTGCCTTGTGATCGGAGCATTTGGTACCCTACCCGAAGCAAGGAAGGATTTAGGGTTTGGGGTTTGGGGTTTGGGGTTTGGGGTTTGGGGTTTGGGGTTTGGGGTTTGGGGTTTGGGGTTTGGGGTTTGGGGTTTGGGGTTTGGGGTTTAGGGTTTAGGGTTTAGGGTTTAGGGTTTAGGGTTTCGGTTTAGGGTTTAGGATTTAGGGTTTAGGGTTTAGGGTTTAGGGTTTAGGGCCAGGAGGCTGAAGCCCTAAACCGGAACATCTCCGCGCAGCTACAGGAGCCTCAGCCGTTTCGCATCCTGGAGAGGTGCAGGAAACTTTCCCGGTTGAAGCCTAACACCCAGCTTCGGGTTTAGGGTTTAGGGTTTAATTAGGCTTTAGGGTTTAGGGTTTAGGGTTTAGGGGCTGGCAGCCTGAAGGGACTTCTCTGAGCGCCACACTCACAGGCAACAAAGTCAACCCGCAAACCACGGCACCAAAAAAAGAGCATCCAAAACACGACCGCAAAACGGCGGATTCGAGGGATCGCACTACGCATGGCCAGGAAAATGAGCCACCAAAGCATCCTGGTACTTGGAGGTTCAGGGTACTTATTAACCAGTTATAACTGTACTTATAACCCACTTATAATAAGCCCCTTAAGTGCCCTAATATGGTTATAAGTACAGCTTAAGTACAGTTACAATTAGTTACTAAGTACCGTGAACCTAAGTCGGTCGTCATGCAATTGAGGTGTATCGAAGCCTCTGTAAGCATGATCAGGCCTTCATACTTCTGAGGGCGGGACGCGAAAACAAACTAGAATACGCTCAGCCTGAGAAGCTGCTGAAAGAGCCGCACAGACCGCAAAACCCAATCAGTAGGGTTTAGGGTTCAGGGTTTAGGGTTTAGGGTTTAGGGTAACTCTGTGAAAACTGACAAGCCGTCAAAACCTTGGAACGCCTCGACCTCTAAACGCACCTCGACGCCCTCAAAAGCCTCAGATCGAAGAGCCTAAACCCCTAAACCCTAAACCCCAAACCCTCGACCCCTAAACCCTAAACCCTAAACCCTAAACCCTAAACCCGCTAAACCCCTAAACCCTAAACCTGGCGCCTCGGGCGGCTGCGGCAATTTCCGGCAGCCAGGTATGGCGTTGTTTCTGTGCAGGGGAGGGGTTTGGGGTTTAGGGATTGAGGTGTTTGGGGTTTAGGGTTTAGGGTTTAGGGCTTAGGGTTTAGGGTTTAGGGCTTAGGGTTTAGGGTTTAGGGTTGAGGGTTGAGGGTTGAGGGTTTAGGGTTTAGGGTTTAGGTGTTGTGTGTGTATTTCTTTTATTTATCTTCTTTGAATTTAGATTTTTTTTTTGGGGGGGGTGCGGGGAGAGGGGACCCCGAAGCCTAAACCCTAATCCCTATGAGCTATGAGCCATGAACCGTGGGGCTTTAGGGCAAGCGTTCTTGGAAGTCTGAATGTTTAAGGAGAAGTTACTCTGATGGTTGGCTTAGGGTTTTTAATTGCGGGTAAAGGCCGGATGGGGGCATTTTGGGAGGTGCTAGGGATGTTAGGGGGTTTAGAGGGCTTATGGGTAACTTTTGCGATCCTGCAGGGTTTAGGGTTTAGGGTTTAGGGTTTAGGGTTTAGGGTTTAGGGTTTAGGGTTTAGGGTTTACGGTTTAGGGTTGTCCGGGGGATTGAGAGCTTGGGGCTGCTTCAGTGCAAGCGATGCACGTTACGCACTCTAGCTGAAGAAGACATAGGGTTTAGGGTTTAGGGTTTAGGGTTTAGGGTTTAGGGTTATATATATATGTATATTATATGCATATATATATATATATAAGGACCGCCACCCCAAAACGCTAAACTCAAGTATCGTAGCAAACACCAGCATGGGCTGTGAGGCCTTACAAACCCCACAATCAACCCTATAAACGGCCCCTTTAAGAAAAAAATGTAACCCTAAACCCCAAACCCCAAACCCCAAACCCCAAACCCTAAACCCTAAACCCTAACCCTTAAACCCTATAAAAGCCCATCCTCAAGCTGATGTTTTCGCTGCGGCTGAGTGGATCCGCTGTTGCGGCGAATCGATTCCCACAGAGAGCCTAATTAACCCCATAGCAACCCTAAACCCTAAACCCTAAACCCTAAACACCCCTATATCCAGCAAAGCTCACACCGCAACTCCTCAAGGGATCTGGGTTTAGGGTTTAGGATGTAGTAGGGTTTCGGGTTCAGGGTCTCAGGGTTAGGGTCGAAAGCCCCAACTGGCGGAGATCCCCATGTCCCCAAATCTGGAGGACCTATGAGCAACTCCCTGGCATGTCCAAGACTGTAAAACAATCGTACAGAAACCCTAAACCCTCTAAAGCCTCAAGCCTAAACCCTAAAGCCTCAAGCCGAAA